AGACTTGAGAGGAAGTAAAATGTGGATATCAGACCACAGAATATTGTATTTAACCAATTATAAAATGTGTTTTATTTTGCATGAGGAATGAGAGATGATTGGCTGAAGGAAGTCTTTTCTCTGACTGAGAACCAAAATGGCATGTGAAGAGTAGAGGTAGAACTGCACTGTTATGAGCCTGGACTCAGTTAGATGGATTTGTTTTACATGTTTACATCTGTAGTCGTTCGGCAGCTCAGTACCTCAGCTGTAAGTGTTACTTCAGTCCTCCTTAAAAGCCTGAGCAGATAATATTTCTACACACTCTTATGTCATTTTGCACTTTGAGCCGTACAAGTGGTATCATTTTGTTCACTTATATTGCTGCACAACTGCTGAGACTGTAAAGAACAATAAATATCAGTGTTTATCTCTGCAAAGTGTAGTAAAAAGTAAGATTATGTAACCTCCTCAGGCCTAAAGATACATAATTATTTATCATTTATGTAGTAAAACTGCCATGGCACAACATCATAAATAGTGACATGTGACATACAGTTATTGTCTGCCATTGACGTTTTAAAACGCCAAATGCGTTTTTCACTATTTTCATGTTCCCAGATGTCTATTATATATAATATGTTTGGGGATTAGCGTTAGAGCATATTTTATCGAGCCAGCAGGTGGCACCATCGCTCTCTGGATGGTTTGAAAACAGGATGTGTAAAACTTCTCTCTACTCGACTGGGGATTACTGGGGAACAAGACAAGCTTGAAACAAAATTATTTTTTTCTGGTGAAAGTAGACAGTCCATTCCTTCAGAATCTGGTTTCAGATAGTCACAGTACACAATATCCTGTGGGTCTTGAAAAATCAATAAAAATCATCAGAAATTGCTGGCAGTATGGGAGCTCCTGCTCTGGAATGTGCTGGCAGGCAATGAGTTAAGGAAGGTTTTGTTTGTTTTTTACTTTTCCCCACTCCTATTCCAACATGTACTTCCTCATAATCTCCATATGTGCCGTAGCATTATGGTTGCACAATGCTTTTAATTATTTATTGTTTTGTTTTTCATTATCTAAATAAATACATTCATTCATTCACACATTACATATTTATCTACTCTACGGAATTATTATTTTAGTGCATCTGCCAACTCCTCCAGGCACAATAGTTCCCTTTTCACTCTAAAATTCAACGTATAAAATCCATGGAACAGGATTTGTATTATGCAGAAGGTCCTTATACCAGCAGCACCTTTGGGTAAATATGGTCTCGGTAAATACGCCCCAGTGCAATTCAATAACCTTAACCCTCTGCACAAAAAGCCAGAGTTAAAGGCCAGCTCCAAGTCTAGTTTAATAATGTCATATAAAATAGCCCATTATTATTTATAGCAGCTTGTTGTTGTTGTTGCCGAATAGTTCAGTGTGTAAGATGGGACATTGGATATTTTAAACATCAAACCGTCTCTTACACATTGGAGAGACATGGCCCATGCAGCTCAAAGCTCTATCTTCTCCCTGCAGGCTTCCGTAGTTTGCCAAGCCTTATTAAACCTGGGACAGTTGATCAAATATTCAGCTCACCTCATTGTGCGGCATTGAGCTCCTGGTTGTGGTATATATTGTGTGTGTAGCGCCCCAGCACCCAAAGCTTTTGTATAGTGTCTTTTCAACACCTACCCAGGTCAGCCCTCTGTCAGAAGCAAGTGATTTTTGTATGATTTCTTTAAAAGCGAGAGAACAGTCGGTCTTTAACTGGAGTGATCCATCTTGCGGCAATGTTGTCAGGGTGATTCACGATTTCCAATTTAGCCGTGGTTTGATTCCAAAGCAAATCGGACAGGACGGCTCCACCCCCCTGTACTGCCCTTATAGTGGCAAGTGTTTTCAAATGAACATATCCCCAACATTCATCTTCTTCATTTATTACACCGGACACCCAGCCGCTTGTCCTACACAGATCAGCAAGCAGAGACCTCCTGGCAGTGTGTGTTTAGCGGAGTAAAAGGGGATGCATCAAAGCCTGCTGCTGTAGAGAGGGAGGTGAGGAGGCTGGAGGAAGAACAGACGTGTTGGATAACTTTGCCGATGAACTTCACATCTCTCTACTTTGGGTTGCCAGGTTCAACAATGGAAATGGGTTTGCGATAAAGCACAAAGGTTCTGTGTGTGATCAGAATGACAACAAGATCCATGTTTTGTTTATGGATTATTCATTTTTTCTGGCTTGCATTTCTTTTTATTAGTAATGTGGGCATTTACATGGAGGTGTGTGTGTGTGTGTGTGTGTGTGTGAACAACGGATTACATTAACAATGATTGACAAGAAACATTGTATTTACTGTGATTTGATTAAATAACAATAAATAGTAGTTTGTGTTACATGGGCAACTGTTGTCTAATATTATATTTATAAGTAGCACCACTATATATATTCAATAACAACAAATATTCGACCAACTGAAATGCTCAGTTGGTCGAGCATTGGCCTTAAGGCCAGAAGGTCGTGGGTTCAATTCCCACCTCTGCACCTTCTCCACCTGATGACTCCCACTGATGACTGCTGTCGTTGTGTCCTTGGGCAAGACACTTAAGCCCACTTTGCCCAAAGCCCCCACTGAAAGATCAATGCTCACACTCAGAGAGCAGCCGTCCTCCTGTGGACTCACCACCTGCAGAGGGTCAGTGAGGGGCTGGTGCTATGAGACTTGGGTGGCATCTCTGACTGCCACCCCCCTGACCCAGAAATGGATTAAAGGGTAGAAAATGGATGGATGGATGGAACAAATATTTGGTCTGTCTTCCCACCACCATCTTGGCTTGCATTTAGAGATGAAGAGATCCTTTATTCGTCCCACAGTGGGGAAATTTCAGTGTTGCATCACAACTTAGGATGAGGAGCACACGGCACAAGTTAAGTGATCAATACCTATACTGATTAAAATAAAACGAAAACTATAACTCTAGCATCAATAAAAGTATCAAATCTCTATCTTGAAAATAATAATAAAAACAGTGTAAAAGTTTTATATTTGGCAAAATAATAGGAAAGTATAAAGTACTGTGTATTTCTGGTAAAACGCCTCGTTTCAGTCACTTTAATGTAAGATTTGCCACTTCTTTCTGTCCAGAGTGGTTGAAAATAATGCTTGTTTTTCAAAATTCCTATTATTAACCCATCAACATCGTCAAAGGTGGTTTTGCAAGAAGGCAGATCTAGACTTTGACAAACGACACAATGACTAAAGATTACATGTTTATTTTAAATCAGGTTATCACAGGAGGGGCGACAGGAGCTCAGTTGGAAGAGCATCGGCCTTTGGGGCTGAAGGTTGTGAGTTCGAGCCCACCACTGGACCTACTCCAACTGCTCCCACTCATGTCTGCTGTTGTTGTGTCCTTGTGGAAAACACTTAACCCCACGTTGCCTGAAGTTCCTGCTGAAAGACCAAGGCTGTGGCACCACTCATGTAGCAGCCATCTTCCTGTGGACTAACCCCCTGCAGAGGATCAGAGTGGTGCTATGAGCATTGGGTGGCAGCTCTGATTGTCACCCCCCGACCCAGAAATGGACTAATACAGAGATAGAGAATGAATGAATGAATGAATGAATGAATGAATAGTTATTACAGATTTATAATAAGCTAAAACTAAAGTGTGTGTGTTGATTCCTACTGTCCGTGTAATGCAACACTGAAAGCAAAGTCCCTCTTTAATGAAATTATAAGAAATTCCATTGCACATGAACGTCCCCATGATAGATTGGGTAGATACGTATAAAAGGGGAGAGAGAATAGAACAGGAGGAACCAATGAAATCAACTCTATTAAAAAACACATTCTTAAAATAAATGTATAGCAGGCCACCAGCGTGCAGGTGTGACCACAGCATGAGGCGGCCTTATCCAGGAGCCCCCACAACCTCCTGAATAATCACACTGTCATCCGGGATCATTTGGCCAGAGTTATACATCGTAGTTAACACAGCCCTCAATGACACACACCCAGACCCTCAAACAGCACAGGCACCAGGCCACACACTCATTAGCGAGGTTGAATGTCGTAAAACAGTACTTTTATAAATGTTGACAAAAAGCTACATCTATAAGAATATCCTTGGCCTTGAAGCTATACTGCAAAACACTAAAATTTGGCAAAATGTATCTAAGCGCGTTCTGTCAGCCTTAAAAGTGACAACCTAAATAATCTTGTTTTAAAAATATGCAAGAAATGTCTCCCTTGAAATGAGAAAATAAGACTAAGTTGCTTTGTCCCATTGGCAAATCTTGTCAGCAATTTTCCTCATACTTTATCATTTTTTGCAGTGTAGACTTTACACATATGCTAAGATTATGGAATGGATCAACCCATGAATAGCATATGAATACTTTTGGTATTTTATTCTTTCTCTGCTAGTGCTAGTGTTGTTTTGGCTAACGGGAGCACAGCAGTCACAGCGAGAAGGTCCTGGATTCAGCTTTCAGTCGGTGCGGGTCCTTTCCTCTGCTTGTCTGTGTTTCTTAGATGCTCTGGTTTCTCCCATCCCTAAAACATGTGCAGTATGAATGTGCAGGTGAAGGAATGGTGTGTGATGGTTTCAGGGTTCTGTGACGCCAGCCGTGCGGCAGTCTGCTTCTGTCAGTGTGCCTCAGGGCAGATACAACTGTAGCTCACCACCGCTGTGAGAGGAGTGAGTGAAGCGCTTTGTTTAACCCTCATCTGTGAAAAGCACTATGCATGTGTGTACTTAGGGTTAGTAATAGTAATTCTGCACTAAAAGTATTGTACTAAAATACTATGCAATGCTATAGAATACTACACAAAATACATTATAGGTATTCAGTATTCTTGAACTGAATACATTTTCAAAGTATTCTACCCAACACTGAATATAAGTGTGTCCAACCCAAAGACATTTAGATTATACATTGGATTCTGAAGTTTCAAAAGGCTCAATTTTCCCCATTCCAATGACAATATATGTAGCCTCTGTAATGGTTTGGCAAATAAAATAACAATGCAATGCACTTCATGTGGAGGAGTCCAGGCGGGTGCTCCGAGGTGTTCATTTCCACTTTTGTCAAAACCCACAACGAGAAGCGACGGCTGCACCTCCTGCAGTCTGTGGAGGTGAGTGGCAGCTGTGGCTCCTGTTTGCACTCAGCAGAGGAGCAGATGATGAATGCACTGCTCACATCAGAGCCACAACCTGCTCTGCTGCTCCTGTGTCCACGCTCATCCAATACCTCACAAAAGATGGTACCAAGCAACATCATAACAAAACAGTTCTGTTCCAGCACTGGTTCAAAAATGGCCTCAGGACAAACTGGATCTTTGTATCTGTTAGGGGGGCAGCTCACAAGTTTTATTTTATTTGTTCACATTTTGAAGCAAACATAAATACCGACTACATGAATACTCAGTTGAATCCCCTCCGACCAATCAGCGAGCGGGGGAGGCGGGTGTTGTAGGTGTCGATGATGTCAAGAGTTTGCGCCAAATTTGCTGGTTGTAGTTTGGCGGCAAATGTGATAGTAAAGTAATGTTCTGGTTTGACTCCAAAATATCAAGAAATTGAAGCCGGAGCAAGAGGAATGTTTAGTAAATGTCATTGCTGCAAAGATGTTGTGGCTCTACTCCTCACGGGCTCTGTTAGTGGCAAAGGAGATGGCTAAAGCTAGGCTAAATGCTAAATGCCTCACTCACTCGAGCGCATTACATATGAGTACAATGATATGATACAACAAGGCTAACAGAAAAAAACGTCTTGTCAAATTCTAAAAGCAAAAATCCTAAATTGATCATTGTGTGTTTGACTGGTTTGTTTTTGTCAAATCAACAGCATGTTATTATCGTTTCATAATATTGTAATTTATTCATCCAAACAAAAGTGACATCATGTATACTTAAAGAATTGATAGAATACGTCGGTGAAAGAGAAAATCGTTGCCGCAACAGTTCAGTGGAAATAACATTGAATTCATTCTCATTTCAGAGCATGTGGTATCTTTTCAGATGAAAACACATTCAATCTTTATCCAACGTTATTTGAAATGAATTGCGTTTCATATGTATGGGCCTCTTCCAGTTCAAAGCCTGGAGGACTTACGTGGATTCGTTTCGGTGACTCTCCTGCGGCCTAAATCTATAATCGTGTTTGTTGTGATTCCATTAAACACTATTTTCTTGGTACCAGATAAAACCGCGGATACATTAGTACAGTGTGACAGGCGCTTGTTGTTCTCACATTTCCGAGTTGATTACTTTGATGTGGAAGGGCCCGCGGGCCTCTCCTCGCTCCTCCTGCTGACGCTGCGTTGCTGTGCGGTTGAACCTGTGTAACGGTATCGCTCTCGATTCGTCACACGCTGGAGGAGATGCTGCTCCTCTCGGCGAGTGCATCTGCTCACAGTCTCTCTCTCCGACAGCCTGCAGGGGTTGGCAAAGAATGATTTGAGGAGCTTTGTTGTAAATTAGGTTTATAGGCTTGAAATAATGTGCAGATAAATAATGCAGCAGATTGTAATCACTCACTGCTGACAACTGTTTTCTTTGTCTGCAACATGCGGCTGCAGTTCAGCGGGTATTCAAGCAGGAAGGAAGGCAAAAATCATGTTTGGCAAGAGAGAAGGGTCGGCACTAGATCAAATACGGAATCGGGACGGAATAGGTGTCTGAGTAAGATGGTTAAGGTTAGGGTTAAGGTGCGTCTGAGTAAGATGGTTAAGGTTAGGGTTAAGGTGCGTCTGAGTAAGATGGTTAAGGTTAGGGTTAAGGTGCGTCTGAGTAAGATGGTTAAGGTTAGGGTTAAGGTGGTCTGAGTAAGATGGTTAAGGTTAAGGTGGTCTGAGTAAGATGGTTAAGGTTAGGGTTAAGGTGGGTCTGAGTAAGATGGTTAAGGTTAGGGTTAAGGTGGGTCTGAGTAAGATGGTTAAGGTTAGGGTTAAGGTGGGTCTGAGTAAGATGGTTAAGGTTAGGGTTAAGGGTGGGTTGGGGTTATTCTATGGTTGGTTATATTTACTTCAGCTTCCCTCCCTATTCAGTATATGATCTAGTGCCGACCAAAAGAGAAATTAAGTGATTAGTGCTGTGTTCTTCCCTCTTGTGGAATCTGCCTCTAGTGAAAATGGTTTGTTACTATATAGTAGATTACTTTTTCAAATACTTAGACTCCCAAAATTATTTGACTGCTAAAACTCCCAGAGCAGTCATTTTGACGGGTTCAATTGAAACCAAATGGAATTCTGAAAAAACACGACTTTTCATCAAACTATTATTTTTAAGATAGTATGGTAACATCAGAATACGTATGTGCTGGTGGTGCAGTCTTTCTTCAATCAGACTACTGTGTGGGTGCGATTGTATTTATTAACTAACTTCATTATTTGGATTCCCATTAGCTTCCACAAGGGGTCACTATAGTCTTACTGGGGTCCATTGGATCAAGTCACATTACAACATTTCAAACATACAGTAAGAAAAGTTATTAAAATACACAATAAACCACAACTTAATAAACATTCCACATCATCCTTCAACATTCATTCAAGAATTTACACAAAAAATGAAAAAAATATGTGGTAATAGTCGCTTGAATCGACTTTTTTTTTTTAAAGAAATCTTATGTTGGGGTATATTCTAAAACAAGATTCTCCAATGGGACCAAACCATTTATTCTTTTATTCTTGCTTTATTTTTCTCATTACAGGGGAGACAATTCTTGTTTATTTTTTAAAACCAGATTTTGCTTTGTCCCATTGGTAAATCTTGTTTTAAGGCAGTCATAATGTACTCAAATCAAGACACATTTTGCCAAATTAGAGCTTTTTATTTTCTTTCTATCCCTTTTTGCAGTGTTGTATTTGCAGTTGTAGCCTACCACCATTAAACCTTTTCCTCATGCAATTGTAAAGCAACTTAGTGACTAAACTGGGCGGCACGGTGGCTGAGTGGATAGCACTCTCGCCTCTCAGCAAGAAGGTCCTGGGTTCGATTCCCGGTTGGACCAGGGCCTTTCTGAGTGGAGTTTGTATGTTCTCCCCGTGTCTGCGTAGGTTTCCTCCGGGTACTCCGGTTTCCCCTACCACAAAAAATATGTACAATAGGTCTGGCATGTGCCTCCTGTACTGGCACCCCCACTCCCAAAAAAACAAAAAAAACAATTGTAAACCGCTTTGAGACTCCGATGTGCAGTGAAAAGGCGGTATATATAAATAAAGATTACAAAATAAAGATTACAAATTACTAAAAGCAGTAAACACACAGAGCTGGAGAGGAGCACAGGGCCGGTTGGGGCTGGTGGAAACGGGTCATTAGTTACTTACTTGTCCGGACACTAAGAAGGAAAGTGATTGTGTGAAGGTTCCAGAGTTGTGGTGCTGAGTAATAACAGCCATCAGTTACATGTGGGGGTGATTTTTCAGTTTATCCAGGCCTCGCAATGGGGGACTGACGGCTCGGTGGGCAAGAGCACCATTACGGGTCACTGTGTTTGCTCTTAGGTTCAAGAGTCAAAAATTACTAGTTCAGCGCAAAAAAAAAAATCCAGAACAAATCCATGGCTTCTAAACCTAGACTTTTATCACGGAGAACCACTTCTGACACACTGACAATAGATATATAATGCAAAAATCGACTTTAACCATTTTACATAATGCTTTCCTTATTCAATACAGACCAGGAGTTGATTTTGAATTAATCCATGCTAATCTCAGAAAGTTCGGGCAAAAACATGTTACTTTGCTCCTTCTACCTAATAGTTCTTAGCTCAGTTTTCTGGCCTTAAAACAAAATTACTTTACCTACATTTGTTTGATCAATTTCCCAAGTGAAATGAGGTTCTTTGGCTTTGTTTGCAGATATAGCTCCCTCTGGTGGTAGCAGAGAGATACAGCAGGCCAATAGAATAGTTTATCCATTACTTGTTTCGCAATATGTTTGTTACTACATATTTTATTACTCATTACTTTTAAAGCGTCAAACAGGATGCGTATGTTTTCTTCTTTGAATTGAATTTATTTATTTGATCAGGAACAACTTACAATAAATATTAGACTTACTTACAAGTAATTTTTCATGAGCCAGTTTTGAGCAAAAAATTCTGGTTTCCACCTGTAGTCTCTGGACAGGTGAAGCTATAATTAGAGATGACTGATGGAGACTCAATTACAATAATACAATACATTTTCAGCAGTAAACATTATGTTTAAGCATAACGACACATTGCTGGGACAACACTCAAGACACTACACAAATCTTTTTATGCTGAAGGAGCAATATGTAAAAATATGGCCAAAAGTGGTACTGCAGCCTCTCCCACTCTCCCTGACTCAGGTTGCCAGATATGCAGACGAATCCAGCTGGGACCATAATAATTGAATAGAAATCCTTGTTTTATTCCTTGGTTTGTTAATTATAATTTCAGAATCAAAATAAGACCTATTTAGTTCTGCGGCCACATGGTACTTTACCAGTGAGATTAGCTCGATGCGGTGAGTTCTGGCAACCTGGATCACAGACTTTGTGATTGGTGAAACGGTGGAGGGCGGGACATCGAAATGAAAACAATAACAAGATTTAGGGACTGTAAATCCAATTTTGACATTCTCACATCCATGAACTACTGTTATCAGTTAAAGAATATTCAAAAAGAGCATGTTTTATTGAAGCCTTTTGACAGATTAGGGCCATTATAAGATGACTTTACATGAAAATCTTACATATCGCTACTTTAATATCAGGGGTTGTGAAAAACCTGGATTTAAAAAAAGTTAAGTATTTTTTTTGAGGCATTAAGTAAACTTCATCTTTCAACTGGAAGTACTAAAGCCGACCATATATTGCAGAAATCTATACAAGTTGTCCAACATGTCATGATGAATGCACTGTTTTAGCTGTGGCAACTGTCTCTTATGGCCCCATTAGGAACACACACCAAAGATTGATACAGTCTGTTAGCGACAGCGCAGTCCGCTATCATGCTTTTTACAACGTGTGCTTTGGGGGCTATACTCTGTGCTTTTTATGAGCTCTAAATCACTTATATCTTCCACTGAGGAAAACTACATAAGCCAAAGCACTGTGATGCTTCTATCTGTTCCCCAACTGTTTAGTGAAAACATAACCCCCCATGCAAGCCTTTTGTTTTCCCTGCCTTGTAAAAAAATAAATGTAATTCTCCCTTATCGTGACCCGCACATTTAGCCATTCATCCGTTGGCTGCCAGTTTTTATTTGCCCGGCTTCAGTTGGCTTGTCAGCTTCATGCCGAGAAT